TGATATTTGTGCATAGTGGCCCTAATATTCTTCTGTATAAAGTTCACAATGCTTTAAAAACTTTTAATTAAATATTACATTTATTTTCTCATCATTAAAACTTTTCAGTTTCAACAAAGAACTATGAGCAAAAGTTTCACACCATCTGCAAGTTAATGAAAATCTATGGTAACAGTTTTTTCCCTTTTTTTTATTTGAAAGCTGCTTTAAATTTTTAGGGAGGGAAATTTGTGTCTGTTGTTCCCTTGCTTTCAGACAAACTGCATGAAGAAGCAGCTTTTTGCGACCATCATAGCAAAACTCCTAGTTTGTTTTGACATTTGATTCTCTGATGGGACTCATTACCAAAGCTCTTTTTTGTCTTTGGCTCTGCACTCATTGGTTTCGTAACCTGATTATATAAACACAGAAATGCACAAGCACACTCCAGCTCTGCTAAAACATCACATTGCTGTCAAGTGAAACTAATTTAATTATCTGTTCAGATTTATACATTTCCTCTGGATTTTTAGTTACAAATGTTTATTTTATTTGAAACAGCAGAATACAAATACTCAGAATGCATTCACAGCACAGAACTGGGACAGCTGCAAGTACATCTGCAGTAAAAAGTTAAATGAGTTCAAATATGCTTTAGTTTGATTTTAAGAGATTTGACAAATCGTCCAAAAGGCTTAAAGATTTCAGTCTAGGTCAATAAATTTAGTCATAGCACACAAAAGTGAAGATGTAATCTGTTATCACGTCTTGCCATTTTCCACCCATCACAACATTTTTCAGTCTGCACTTTGTCTAACCTGGCACAAGTGCTCCGTCTGGCGTTTCCTGGCCTGTTTTCTATTATTCTTTGACCAGAATGTGTGGTAATGTGTTAAAAGAGAGAAATCAACCAAGATACCCAAGTATTTGTAAGAATCGACAAACTCAATCGGGACACCATTCAAAGATAAGACAGAAGGAATGACCGCTGGGACTGACTTCCTGTTTGAAAACAACATCCCTTTGGTTTTATCAGCATTTAGCACAAGTCTGAGTCTGAGAAGGAACAAATCTGACTGGATGATGTCAAATGAGGACTGTAGAAGCTGGAAACCCTTAGCAACTGTTTTAGCTCAACAATAAACAACTGTATCGTCGGCATAGAAATGTAAGGATGTGTCAGGAATGATCTAACCTTCATTACTTATGTAGATTGTGAAGAGGGATATCCTAAGACTGAACCTTGTGGTACACCATTGTTAACAGTTAGTCTTTTAGTTAACTGTTAGTCTTTCAATTAACAGTTAGTTAGTCTTTTAGTTAATTGTTAGTATTTTAGTTAACAGTTAGTCTTTTCTTTAACAATTAGTTAACAGTTAGTTAGTCCTTTAGCTACTTTTCTCTTTTGACTATTGTTTTATAAATTTTAGCTTTCAGCTTATGATTTGCTCCCTTTACATTTAGCTAGTGTTCTGCTTCTTTCCAGTTTAACCACTCATTTTTAGCTTCTTCAGATAATTCAGACAAGCCTTTCACACTCAGCATTCACTGTATTTTTGCAGAAAATTCAGTTTTCTAGTTGTTATTGGGCCTTTGTGACACCCAAAACACTTATTTAGCTGTTATTGCTTTTTGCCTCAATTAATATTTGGGACATGAAGTCATTGTATTTGAATCTTGCATACTGAGTTTATTAGTGTTTTATAAACATGCACGTGTGTTTGTTGGTGCGTAGGTGCCAGTAACTGGGTGTTGCAGGGGGTAAAGGACGGAGAAAACAGGCCTCTGTGTCCCTCTGCTCATTAATACCATGTGGCAGACTACTGCTGAGCTTCCTGGCAAATGAGCAGCGTGCAGCTGGTTTTAACTTGTACAGAAACAAAAAAAAAGTTGATTTATTTAAGGGCTAAAACTAAAAACTCATATCTGCAATGATTCATATGCAGGTTAAAGTAAAGGTCTTGCTTTTAGTGAATGCAGGCTTGTATGTTTTGAGTTAAAATTGATCGCAGAGCTCTCTCCCCCCGAGGTTTTCACTAGTAAAACTTTTATGATTGCAACAATGTGATCTTTTATTACACACTTGATGACCGGAGTGTAGCTTATTCATACTCAAGTTTCCTGAAGTCAGGCAGAAGACGAAACGAGGCAAGTGCTAACTTTGACTTTCAGTTTGGTTAAATTAAAAAATGCAAACTGTGAGATATCATCTGGCTCATGAAAAGCCCAACAAAGAGCAGATGATGGAAGCTTTTATGCCAGTTTGTTTTAGCCGACTGGTTCCCGGTTCACTTGCCTGTGTGGTCACTGGTTAGCCACCCAAGTGCGTTTCTTCATTTTTGTTGGGGATGAACAGAAACCCCCTCTCCTGCTGTGAGCTGGGCTGTAAACTCACAACAGCTGTTTGGGATCTTTTCACAAAAACACTGAACCCCCTGTGCTGCATCTTCTCCTTGGGCCCCAGAAAGCTGCTTCTATCTGTACCATCACTCACTGTGTTTCCTGCAAACCGAACATTTTTATACTTCTTAATCCCCGAGACACTCCAAACTGTCTCTCTGTCCTGATGTTCCTCACCATTTGTCTGCAGCTTTGCTCCCAATCTTCCCAGTTTTTCTCACAGGAGTCCAATAAGTGTAAAAAAAAATGAGGTCAGCAGTGAAAACTCATAGGCATCCATTACAATCATTCACACAATCTAATGAACTATAAAACACTACAAAATAAAATAATTACTGACTGCTTTGTAAACAGACAACAGATTTGGTTCAAGCTGAGGCAGTTGAGTTGTAATAATGAACATTAGCTGCTTCATGCAACTGTTGAGACATGACAGTCTGGACCAAAGCAGCTTTGGTTTCCCTAATTTTAAACATCAGGGATGTTAATACGACTAAAACAATTGATTTTTTAAATTTTAGATCTCTGGAAGACCTGGACCTTTCCTACAACCGCTTCACCTCTGCACCTGTGAATCTGCCACGCAGTCTTCAGAAACTGACCCTCCAACACAACTACCTAAGTCGCATCTCTGCCTTCACGTTTCGTCACATGCGGCCCGGCGTACAGTCCCTCTGTCTGTCCCACAATGCACTGAGCACTGAGGGTTTAGAGCGAGTTGCTTTCGTTGGGACTTACCGCTCGCTCAAAGAGCTCCGTCTGGACAACAACAACCTGGAGGAGATCCCTCGATGTGTGCGGCAGTTTAAGAACCTGCAGGTGCTGAGACTGGACAACAATCACATCAGGTACAGATGCAATTAGTCAAAGTAGATTCAAAGGGATAGTTCAGATCACTTAAGTTGGGGTTCTGTGGAAAGGTTTGAACAGGTAATATCTTACCTGCTGATAGCTCTTTAAATGACCTCAGATTAGAGAACTAAAGTTTATTCTGCCCAAACTGATGAGCAAACAGGAACCAAGACCAATTGGATTGGTGCTATCTCAGAGAATAAATTCAGTCTCAAATAATTTCAAAGCAGTTCATGCAAACACTGTTTTATGAACCTTTACACCACAGTCACTTTGCATTACACTGGTAAATTGGCAGATATAATATACAGTAGTCCATTATTTTCACCAGGGTTACTTTCCAGACATCCCCGCAATAAGTGAAAAACCATGAAGTAGGAATGCTATATATTTATTTTAGTATTTATATATACATTTTAAGGCTTTAGAAACCCTTCCCACACTCTTGCAATGTTCTAAACTCT